TTTCTTTGTATACCAGGTAATTTTACTCAATGGACTTTGAGAGGATCCTTAGAATAGATGATTTTTCTGTAATTTAAACGTATCTATGGAGTATGGTTGTGCTTTTGGTGAAGCCCAGTTGGAAAGTGGACCTCCGCCCCAGTATCATTGTTTTTTTGTTGTTGTTTTTATTTTTTGCAGCCTCTGACGGGTCATTGGGTTGTGCGTAATTAGCTCCATCAGTGACCTTCCCATCAACTCTGAGCTGCATCCTTGTCTCTTCTGAGGAAATTGTGCAACCACCATGTTTCACCTTAGAAATGTATAGCCCAAGATGATTATTTTTTTTATTTTATTTTTTATTCACTGAGATAAGGTAATAAAGGGCGGGTGAGTTACTGCATTGAATGAAAATAGAGAAGAGTAAGGAAGGTGTGGGTTAAATGTAATATGCCTCTTATTTTTCTGATTCAATTAAGATTTATTTGTTTACTTTATGAATCTGTGGTTTGCCTGGAAGAAAAAGTGATTGGATGGATCACTTTATATTGGTAAGACTGCAATGAAACTTCATTTAAGATCAACTGAATTCAGTTTTACTCTGGACACAAATTTCTGCAAAAAAAAAAAAAAAAATTGTGTTATTTGTCTTATAAGCAGTGGATTATTTGCTGTTTAAGATGAATAAATATTTGCCATCATTGCAGTTTTTTTCCCCTGCATTTCGATCATTCTCACTTTCTCAGTGAGAAGAATTAAGATGGATGGTTTCATCTTTCTCCTGTTTCTGCGTGATAAATATATTTCTCCTAAACCACTGCTTCTTCAAACTTTCTCTGCATTACTTCCAAGTGGCAGCAGAAGGTAAATAATTTATGTTCTGCTTTGCTGCTGGATATGAATCACTCAAAAAGAGCAGAATACACATGCTCTTATTAGAGAAACTCTTCACTCCAATGACACATTCACTTCTTTTTTCTTTAGAAAGAAGGAGCACCTCTTTATTCTGGCCTCATAACTTATCCATGATGGCTTTTCATTATGCTCAGATTTAAAAATCTGGCTTAAATTAAAATTATAAGTATTAACAAACAGAAATACAGATTTACATTAAGTTTTTACAACCTGTGATCTGTTTACTTGTTTTTTAGGGTTTTTTTTTTATTTTTGGTCCTCTTTGCTTTAGGCGAGAAAATCTTTTTCAAGTCTGCTAAAATAAATAACCCCATTCATAAATATCATAAAGTTTCCCTCATTAGTTTAGATTTTATTTAATTCCATGTTTTCTCTTACAGAAGTGACCATTTAACATTTTTGAGAACAGATGTAACAACAATCATAGGTAGAAAACCTTTAAAACTTACAACTACCATTTACCCCATACCATCAGTAAAATTCCTTTTTTTCTAATTTTAGAAAACAAAGGTGGAAATATAAAGTTAGTCTCTGTCATTCTTATTGTATTAACATTGTATACCTCTAAAACGGGCACCCTGGAACACTTGCTCCCTGGAACATTCAGAAGTTAAGAATTCATTCTGTAACCAATGCCATCATTAAGGTTGTGAACGTCTTGAGAAAGTTCTTCACTTTTACACATCATGTCACGTTTCTTCTGAGATATCAAAGACGACTATATATAGGCCATTATTTGGGAATGAACCAGCTGATATTTGTTGCACTGACAAGGGGCAAGATTGCTTTCTGGTGTCTTGGCTTTCCTTGCCTTTTTTTTTCACCTCCCATTCTTCACGTGTTCAATACTTTTTCCATGTGTGTTATTACAAATAACTTCATTTCTGGACATCTGTGGATTGATTTCATTGTATGTGTGGATTGCATGGATTGTTACCATTATCTGGTGAAAATTTCATGTCGATAGCACCTCTAGAAATATATTTATTAAGAGAAAGGGTGGCGTGTTCAATACTTATTTCACCTGCTGTAGCCGTACAGGGACTTTCTAGCTTTAGCGGTTACATTGCTTTGTTGAAAGAATTTCAGTACTCTAGTAGCGGGCTGCACGGTGGCACAGTTTTTCTGCACTGTTGCCTTCCATCGAGTAGGTCTTTGGTTTGATTCCTGCCCTAGGGTCTTTCGTCATGGTGTGTTCCCCATGCATCCATAGTTTCTCTCTACTCATGCACAGACTTGTTTCCATAACTTTTGGACCTCTTTGGTTTAAGCCTTTATACTCGACTGCCTTGGAGAACATTTTGACACAAGACATAACATTCGAGATTTGGAATAGCTTTATACAATTTTACTCTACAGTAACCGTGTTTCCATTAACCATCAAATTTCACATCTTGTAGTTATGGAAATAATTTTGCTGAATGGAAACACTGCAGTTTGTGGGGTGGTTTATCGGTGGTATTGAAATTGTTATATTTTGCAAAACTGCAATGGAAACACTTTTTTTTTGCATCACACGAGTCACGTGATCTGCAACTGGACCTTACTGCCTTGTAAAAAGACCAGAAGTCTTTGGAGTTGGAGGTTGATGGCATCTATTAGAGCCAGGGCTGAAATATGTATATATATGTCTCATGTGTTTATATCCACCACAGCCATGTTGTATTCAGAGTTCTTGCACAAACAAATGTATTCAAGTGCAATTTTATATATATATATATATATCTCATGTGTTTATATCCACCACAGCCATGTTGTATTCAGAGTTCTTGCACAAACAAATGTATTCAAGTGCAATTTTAGTTGTTTTTTATTTCATTAATGTAATTAAGATCAGATCAGCTCTCCCATCTCATCTTGTCTTAATCAGAGTCAGGATTCTGTCTTTTTCCTTTTCTTCTTCTCAAGGAAAGGCAAACATTCCATGATCCACGAGATCTTGCAACTTCTTCTTTTTTGTACCAACACCAGTCTGCTCTGGAAGCTAATTGACATTAGACAGTTGTTAGGATTTCTTACATGGGCAGTTTCCTGTGATTTGGTCAAGCATTTCGACATGATATTCTGTTCTGTTTAAGTGGACAATAGCAGGACCTGGTGAGTGAAACTTGTTTACTGAATACTTAAACTTTGTTGTACACAGCTCAGTGTTCTTCATATCCCATCCACTTGCTCCCACTCACACTCTTGTCTCCTATTAAACTTGCTGCCAAAGTCTGACTTAATCTATTTATCTATTGCCGTTTTAACTGTAAGTGTATGTGAATGTGTGATTGTGCTTATCCTGTACTGCTGTTTATAGCCATGGAGTTCCTTCAAGAAGCTGCTGCATTTGTATAAACATAGCAGTGTTTTTGTGCTCTCGCCGTGTTCATTGTCTCCATGACTAAGGAGCAGATTAGTGGTTGAAGCGTCTCGTCAGGATAACCTGTTTGTACCTTAATCTTAGTCGCATTTGGATTTTTTTTTTTCAAACGCCAAAGGTTTAAAAAACAACACTGAAAGATAGGGGATGGATTTTATTATTAAATTTTGAGCAAAGGAAAAAGTAGATAGCTCAGATCTTAGTGGCACTTAAATGATTGCTTCCCCCACAGCCGTAATAAATAAACCAATGATTTATTATTAGGTCACCAAAAGCAGTGACAGTCCATAATAATAATAATAATAATAATAATAATGATATATTAGATACCTTGGAGGTTTCATAATGGTGCACCAAGTGTGTAATTATAATTATCAAGCTGGTGGAACAGAACTCCTGCAAATATCTCTGACTCTTACAGTAGAAGCTGAAAGTTTTATTAGCTGTGTACATTCTGCACTGTAGTGTTTTACATTTTTTTTTCTGCTTTGTTTTTTGTATGTATATCAATAACTGCTATTTTTCTCCATTCATACATATTTCAGACTTCCTTCACAATCTATTTCCTATATTAGCTTCATTTTCATTAGTATGTTGCATGTTTATACAGCCTGATCTATATCCTGTTAAAGCTTGCTGCAGTATAAGGCCAAAAAGAGCTTCAAGCTTTACTTGCTTTGGGGTTTTACCATCTAAGGCATCAAGCACGTAAAAAAAAAAATCCTTAAAGTGTAACTTAACCTGAGCATAACCCTGCCCCCAGACAGAGTCAGGAAAATGTCACCGAAGTGGTCAATGCTGAGATTTAGAGAAGCTCTATTTTAAATTAGTATTTAGTATTTTTACATTTTCCTTTTTTTTTTTTTTTCATGATTTCGATTTTTACCTTTTTTCGTAGCACTTTGACATACATTACCTATGTAAAGTAATCATTTTTATTGTTAAGATAATTATCTTTACACATCCACACATCATTCACATCCAACCACATGGCTCAGAACCTCATATTTCTTAGACAGCTACCAGTATCACAGACAATCTTTTCATTTTAATGGGGTAGGACTGAACCAATTGGCATATATTGACATTTGCTCAGCAATTTTTGTTGATCACCCCAATATCGCCTGCCTAAAAAAAAAAAGATTATTGCACATGTAATTTAGAACCCTTTATTTGAAAACTTTGAAGATCAGACCCTTATGGTAAAATGCTGGTATCGAGACTGTTAGTCTTTGCTGAAGTTCTTCAACATCAAGCTTTAAAGGTTTGATTTTACATCGCAGTTTCAGTTGTTTAACAATTAACACGTAACTTGTTTTTTTTTTTGTGCCATTCCCTACTGTAATTATTAGCATGTTTTCTTCTATATTCTGTTAGGAACTATTTAAGATTAACAGTTCAGAGAAATAGGCCTCTTGAAACGTGATATTCCCTCAGCAAAGAAGAAGGCATGGATTTAAGATTTAAGTTTTTGAAAAGAAAAAAATATTAAAACTATATTAACATCTGTTTAGAAATTCTTTTCATATATATTTTTTTGTGAAAGAAGAATTGAATAAATAGTAAATTAAATAGTAAAAGCAAATAATTGTATATGTAATAATATATTTGCCTTTGTTGTGTATTTTTACTTTTTTACTAGGGATAACAACTGAGAATGTCACTATAAAAATGAACAAATTAAGGATATTTGACATTTCACCAACTATTCTTTTTGTTTGTCTCCTGGTTTTTCTCTTAGATAAGTCGCTGCCTGAGACCCGGAGGCCGCTTTGTCTCCATTACATTCGCTCAGCCTTTCTTCAGGAAACGCCTCTATGCCCGCACCGAGTACAACTGGTCGGTCAGACATGACAGCTACGGAGAAGGCTTTGAATATTTTGTGTATGTAATGACCAAAGGGGAGCAGCTCAGCCCTGAAGATGCAGCTCTGGAAAATAAGCTTCTAGAGGAATTTAAATCCCAGCCCACCAGCATTCCCACCCACCAAGATGAAGATGATAACGACTTCCTTTCCAACATAAACTTGTGATCCCGCTGGAATGTAGACTTTCATTTCAGGAATATGTCAGCCTTTTGAAGCAGAAGCTAAAGCCAAGTGACAGACTTTTTTAAATCATCAAAACAATTTTATAATTTTTTTTATTACTATTGTAATGTTTTAATGCTTTTGTGAACTTTTATATGTATAATTGCTGCAAAAAAATGTTTTAACTTTAGAATTTCATATAATTGTCGTCTGGACCTGCATTTAATAACAATCTGAATTTTTTTAAGGAATTTGTTTTTGAACAAAATCCCTTAAGCATAACTTCTTTTTTCTGCTGACATTAATTAGCAACAAAAAATAATGTCTAACAACATGTGAACCAAGAGGCTACATTACAGATATTTTTTTAAATAAGGGTTAATAAATACTTGACACACTTTAACCAAACAACATAAAGATTATGAGAAACAGATCAGGATCAACATGGATCATAAAACTGCTGAACTAGTGATGGGATTGCATATTACAAACAATATCTTAGCTGTTTTGATTAATGGATGTTACATTTTTACTTACTTTACAAACTAGTAGTGTTCTAGTCAAGACCACACCAACTGAGACCAAGGAGTGCAGAGACAAGTCCAAGTACATTAGAGGCCGAGACCAAGACAGGACGCCTCTCAGTAGGCTTCTAAAGATCTTATCCTGATGTACAAAAAGCAACAAACTAATGTGACTGTAGAACATACATGTAGAACTGTACATGTAGAACTGTATTGCAGATCTCTGCCTAGGTCCCCCTTGAAAATGAGATCCAGATCTCAACAGGGTTTACCTGGCTAAATAAAGGCAATAAAAAAAGTAAATAAAAAAATAAAAAACATCAACCAAAGTTATCTTTGTTAGTTATGACATCTGAGTTGTCCTTGGTTTTTTGCTTCTACATTTCTTGAAAAGCTGAAAATCTCAACACGTCCATCACGTAAATGATTCTGACAGATAATGACACAGCCTGTTCGCCCCATGTTTTTAACTTTTCATTAAGTAAAGGACAAGAAAACAAATGCAAGATTGAGATGCAGACAAACAGAAAACTGGTTCCAGTTGCCTGAAAATCCGAGAATGCAGTGTGGTTGTTATTGAACCATGCAATCTATGTTGTGAACTGTGGAAATGGTCATTTCAGCTTATGAAAGAGAGAAAATACTACCGAAAATGACTCTCTAGGAGCAATGAAGTGTAACAATTTTCCAAAAAAACAAACCATACATGTTGAGCCTGCACATGAGCTTCTCCAGTCTGCATGTCTGACACTGCTCTCCTTCCCTACCACTACAATCAGCTTTATATTCCACCCAAAAGCTTTAAAAAAAAAATGCCCTTTGGCTGTCACACTGCATTTTATACACATCTCCTTGCATCTAGAAGAAATGTCTCACCCTGCATGTTATTTGTTGGAGACACATGATACTGGCTGGCGGGTCATGTGCTCTCCACTGCTTAAATATAGCCCATTAACGGCACACACAGCCATGCGTGCAGACAGGGATGAGGACTTCTGACTGGAGGGAAGGGGATCACATTAATAAAGAAAAAAATCATGTATTTTTAATTCACCACAGAGATCTAATTAACGCCTATTTTTAAGACTTGGGAGGAAAAAAAGATGTGATTTTTCTGAAGGCTCTTTTTCTTCCCCCAGTTTGCAGCTGGAGCAACATCATGGTTTGGTCAGATTTAGCTTTGTTTAACCAAACAACCTAAATGTATTTTCTACTTTTTAGCCGTCATCTTCCCAAGGAAAATACATTTCTATGTATTTATTAGAACAACAAGGTTATCGTTAATTATTTTTAAGATGCACAGACAGCTTTGTAACTTAAGACGAGGCTGCTAATCATGAGATTATCACACTTTCAGTAATGTCCAGGGATCCTTTTTCCACTCAGGAGTGCAGACTAAATGCCTTATCAGCCAATAAGGCTGTCCTAAAACCTGACCTATGGCTGATGAAGGTTCTCAGTCATCCTGACCTATGGCCTACCTTTGTATATTGCAATGCTGATAGCAATGTTTGAATCGGAGCAATCACAATATGCATTACCAACCAAAAATGGCTGGTTGTATTTTTTGCATGTTCTCTTAGAAGTTGTTGAGGTTTGACTTTTGTTATACAAAAACAACCGGTGTATAATTTTGTGTAGACCCTGGTTCCACCCAGCATGTTGAGCTAAATCTGTGATCCGAAGTTAACCGTTGATCTCATACAAAGAAAAAGAAACGTTTTGTTCGTGTTTTTATGCAGAGAGAAATATGTAAGTTTAGGAATAGATAAAAGATCTGACCTTGAAAGATTTGAAATAAGAGGCGCTAAATTGCCTGTGCATACTTTGTTTTTTTTTAGCATGTATATTATTGTTGGAGGTGATCTACAAATACTGCTCCACAAATGTTAACAGTTGCAAACCTGCACGCTGTACCAGCAGTTTCAGAGTGGCTATAACAAAAGATGTGGTTTAAAGCCACAGAGATGGAGGTTATGATGATGATTTAAAAAAAAAAAGAAAATACTTAAAGGGGTCATAGAATGATTCTATAGGGTATTTGGTGCTGGTCCTTAAGGTCTCTTCTTAGGGTGTGTAACATTGGTTGGGCTGAAAATGGCAAATTTGCTGTTTTATGAGCCTAATGCAAGCCTGGCTAAAAGCCCTAGTATTAAATGGCAGGTTTTCCTCCATTTATGGAATGATCATGAACATTTAGAAGAGATTTGCGCTGATGGGTTGGTTTACAACGAGCGAAGCTGCTGAGCAAATATGCATCATAGCAACAAGCACTCACTGACTGAAACATCAAACTGTTGATATGGTAGGGTGACCAGACGTCCTCTTTTTTCCCGGACATGTCCTACTTTTCATACCTAAAAATATTTTCGGGATGGAATTTCTAAATCGTCCGGGATATGGTCGACTACAGTGCAGCACAAAGTCGAACCGAGCCTTGAACTCTGAGGCTGGTCGCTACGGAACGGAGCGACCAGCCCCTGGCTCAGTTGACACTGGAAAAAATCAAAATCTTGATAAGTAATTTTTTCTTAAAATAAGTGCATTTGTTCTTGGATTGAGGAGGTAAAAGAGACATTCTGCAAATGGAAAAAGACTATTTACACTTAAAATAAGAAAACACAATTGCATTGTCTTATTTCAAGTGCATGTTATCTAATTATCTTACATCAACAGTAAAAATACTAATTCCATTGGCAAGCTATCTCATTTTCCTACTGAAATTAAGGATTAATACACTTAATTTAAGAAACTTTTCCTTATTCCTAGATCATTTTTCCGGTGCAAATGCTCGGTCTGGTCCAGTCAGTGGCCCAGCAGCCCCCCAGAACCAAGCAACATCCCTGAATTGACGTCAATTCGGGGCTTGTTTTGAATTTGCCTGTTTTATGGTGGAAGCTTAGAATTGTGAGATTTGCTGAGAAAGGAGGTGTCGATGGGGTTTGAACTTCAGTCCATTTAACCACTGAACTATGGTTGTTCATCTATGACAATGGAAACTCGGTTTTGCATTCTATGACCCTTTTTAACAATATTTGTTGTGTACCTGAAATCAGTATCCTATCATAAAGTGAAACAGTTAAAAAGGAAGAAAATAAAAAATATAAAAGTTAAATATAATCAAAATTATTAATATTAATCTTATTATTTCTGATGTTCCAAATATGTTTAGATTCACACAGAATCTCTCTCCAATATCTGGCCTTGTACTAATTCCCTCAGATGTTTGTTGTCAGTTTGCGGTTGTCTTTCAGAAGTACTAAAATAAGATGCGGCCGCAATTAACTTTCTATTTGGAAAATTGCTTTGCACATGTTAAATGGTCACATATGCATATAATTTACCCTTACATTTTCGCAGTTTAGTCATTAAAATACAGTATGCTGTGCTTATTGATGAAGGCAAACGTGCAAAAAACGAAAAGACTTGAGCACACTGCTGAATTGCAAACACAAAACACTTCACCATCTTTTAAGATCCACTCTGCGAGTACAAACAGGTTCGCACCTGTGTCAAAATCTGCAAACCTTTTGACCATATGTATTTGTGCCAGTGGTAAACAATTTTAAAAGTATAGATGTAAAAATATAGCTTCAGTTCATTTAAATACCAACCTGTTGGGGTTAGTAGTAGTTGTTTGAACTTTTAAATATCAAGTTAGTTAATTGGGATTATTTTTACCCAGACTAAATACCTGTACATATCTGCAAGGTTTACAATGTTCTAGATTCAATAAGATAAGATTGTGCTCTCTAGTAGAGGGTTTGTTTTTTTTTAGCATTTTGTCATATCTGTTCCAGGGCAAGCAAGAAATGTGTCTGGCATACTATCTTTTATGACGTTAACTTGTCCTTTTATGATATTTATACACAGTCAAAACTGTGTTTACAGCACGTTTGATGGTTGTCTGGCTACAAACTGGCTTCCATGGTGACAAAAAGGGTGTAAAGACTTTGCTACTTGAAAAAGAGCATTTAAGAATAATCTGGAACCTAACTGACCTGGACAACATGGAGGGTGCTTATGTAAGTCCAAAATGGCCAAGACTTTTATATTGACTAGAGAGGATGCGGCAGCAGTGCTGCACTGGGATGTTTGATGGATTCATTACCCTGTGGATGGATAGACTGGATATGTCTGCTCAGAAGGAGAGGTTTTCCACTCCTGTTTTTTAACGCCCCTGAGCGTCGACTCTTTCCTTCCGTTTTATCTTATCTCAGTGCTTATCTTATTCTGTGCTTATAAGAATGTATTAAAAATGAGAAGTGGTTTACATTAGGCTTCCTGCTGCCTCGGAGGGACTGATGGATCTGCAGTGGCAGAGACCCCACTGTGCGATTTAACTTGCCTGGACTTAGGTTATGTAAACAGCGAGCAAAACACGGGCCTCATACAGGAGAGGGTTATCATTGTTTCAACACAAATCCTGTCTTTCAGATACTTGTTCATTTTTCTCTCCCCTCAGATAAAATCCATGGTTCCTTTCTTTATTTGTCATTATATAGATGAGAAAACAAAGCCCAATTTTTTCTCTTTTTCTCTCAATGCAATTGTCCTTCATGCTCGGTTGCCCACAGCACTAATCTATTGCCGACTCAGTGCTTCTCTCTATATAACTTTTACAATCACTAATCTTTTTAAGAACTACCTCTATTTCCTCTAGAAGCATTATTTGTTCCTTACAGATTTATTTTCGGGTTTAATG